TTCATTATACTTAGTTACATAACATGTTAAAAAAAACCTACTATGAAAGGATGATTTTATTTAAAAAAAAAAAAAAAAAGAATGAATTTAAAAAAGGAAGATTACTCCTTGTTATGCTTTTGATGGCAGCATAAATAAGGCTAGGAAACTTAGATTAAAGTGTGATTCTCCAGTGTAATCTCAGTCACACAAAAAAAGCAATTAGCTTTATGGACTAGCATTTGGGAAGATTTGAAATGTGCATGTATGGAACTCATTTTTGAGGAATGTGTAGGAAGAGATACTCCCTGTCACAAAGGAGATGGAGAAACTGGGAACTTCTTATCATACTTTTGCCAAACAAAAAAGAAAGAATATATATTATTTTATTGATGTTTTAGAGCTATCTGCAGTGATGTTTTACAGTCTCTTACATGTAAACCATTCAAATTCCTGAGTCACAGAAAGTAATGGTCCCTTCACCCTTGGCGTGAGGAGACAAGTCAGCTTTGAATGATGAAAGAATTCAGTTTCCTCTTATAAAATGGCCAGGGCTCCACCTTGAAGGGATTTTTTCAGATGGATCAGACCACATATGGAGGTCTTGGTTTGGATCAGCATCTTGCGTGGCTCCTAGAAGAGCCATTCAGAAGACCAGCAAGGATAGAAATTCAGCCCGACCTCCACAGCACAACTGCTTCTCTGAAATCCACTTGTACCTCTTCAATCCAATCATTTCGTGGTATATTTTTTAGCTGTTTTATTAGCAATATGTCATTGAATCTGGACTAAATTGTGGCTGCTAATTTACTTACATAGGTATCCTAATTTGGGGGATGGTAAGATTTACATTCTTCAAGATCATGTTCACAGTTGAAAGTATAAACCCAAATATAAGTTAAATGCATCAGGAAAAATATTTGTATTGTTGTGTTTCCCCCATAATTCAAGAAAGTACTTGAAGTTTTGAAAGAAAGCAGGCTTGATTCTAATAACATACGACGCTGCAAGCAAAATTTGAAGGAGTATTCTCCAGAAAGTAGCAAAAAATCATTGAAAACATTGGTTTTATTAATTTCTGAAATATTCCAACCTCTGTACGTGTTTTAGTTAAAAAAACATTATCTTTCCATTCCACAGCAAAAAACAATCAGCAGTTATTTCTTACTGCTTCATCTAGTTACGTTCCTCTTACATCTGTGCAAGATGTGTGGGCAATGCTACCAAATCCCAATGATAGTATTTGACATGGAAAACTGCTGGATGAAGGGCAAAGCACTGGAGGCCCTGACCCTCTCTCCCTGTGTTTCACCACTTGTTAAATGTGAACAAGCTATTTTCAGTGTCTTGGTAGCTTAACGATGCTAACTGAGGGTTTATTTGGGGCTGACTGAGGCAGTGCTAAAGCCAGACTGGCAGCTCTTTTTGGTTCGTTCTACTAACCAGCACAGCTGTGGTCAGTAGCATCTTATAGCACAGACCAGGCTTGATTTTGTTACAAAGGGCCGTGTGGTTTCTTGGGACTGGAGATGGAGATGTGAATTTTGACAGTGCCTTGCTTTTTCCACAGAAAACCTGAAGAAAAAACTCTCTTTTTTCGGTATTCGCAGTTTAATAAATTCCTTCTGAGGAGCGTTCAGCTCACCTAACTGTAGCCATGCAGACACGAGGCATATTGTCCATGCTAGTGGTCTAGTTTACAGGTCAAAAAAGAGGTATTTCTAGAGGATGATTAATTTTTACCATGTTAAATAACTATCTAAGGATGGCATGTCTCCCTTTCTGGTGTTAACTTTCCTACTGCTTTACTAAAAGAAGCAGCTTAGACAACTAATTTAGGCCTGATGTTTAACTGCCTGATGGGTAAGATTAAAGACAATGTCATACTTTATTCACTTCACTATTACCTACTTGCCTGGATGTCTTAAGGAAGAGGGGTTTTTTAGTTTCTTTAAAAAAGAAAATTAAAAAAAGACTGAGAATATCTCAATAACACTTAACAGGACGTGTATTTTGGTGGTGAATCCTGGTGAATTAGTGCTACTGTGCGGAAGGGAAGTGGATCTTTGCATCTCTTAAGCATTAATGGGCAGCAGGTAAAGTTTTTTGTAGTTTCCTTGAAAAAATAGGAAGGGAGCAGAAAACATAAGCCTTTAAATTAGGAAGAATGTGTCAAGTGATTTATGTAGAAATGTTCTGTTAATGTTTCTGATCTACAGTATTTCAGGCCTTTGGGTCTGGAGATTCAAGAAACACTTTCTTCTCTGAGCTCTGCTAAAAGGAAGCCTTACTTTTATCTTTGAAAACCCGTCCTCCTCCCTTGGGGCAATTAGTTTTCCATGGACAGTCTTACTGAATCATTGCATCATTCTCTAGTACCTTTTGTAGAACCTCAGTATATAGCATTATTTTTCTATTCTGGTGCTCATTTAAAAAAATAAGAGGTACAATGCTATTGGATCTTAGAGACTTTTCACCAGTCTGAAACTAATAAATAGGTAATCATAGAATCATAGAATAGTTTGGGTTGGAAGGGACCTTTAAAGGTCATCTAGTCTCATCCCTGCAGTGAGCAGGGACATCTTCAACTAGATCATGTTGCTCAGAGCCCCGTCCAACCTGACCTTGAATGTCCCGAGGGATGGGGCATCTACCACTGCTCTGGGCAACCTGGTCCAATATTTCACCACCCTCATTGTAAAAACTTTCTTCCTTATATGACCTAGGTAACTTTGTCCTTTCCTCATGTTGTGTCCATTGACTTTTGGAAAGGACCCTGAGGATGCTTTGCCAATAATGTACTACGGTGAATAGCCGATTGATTAAAGTAGATCATGTATTGTCAGTTTTCTCTGATGGCTTAGATTTTATTAATTAAAAGTTTAAAGTGCAGCAAGAAAAGCACAGAAGGAGAATGAAAGTACTGGCAACAGCACATATCTATAATTTTTTTCTGTAGAGTGACAGCTAGAGCTTAATGGTTTAGCTAATAATAGCTAAACATTCCTATTTAATGGATAAATTAAATTGAATTATGTATTTAAAGTGTGTCTGGATGCTTTAAGGGGAGCCTTGTGTTGAAAAGAGCAGAGATGATGCATGCATATGCTGATGTACAAGCACTCCAAGTGACTGAATGGCTGCAAGGAATCTATTTTGAAAGGTTTAAAATATTGCCCCTTACTTGGAGGTCATCAGCGTTCCCCAGCAGAGACACAGCAACTGATTGTGAATACTCTCCTACTCTGTTTCAGTAACAAAGTGAAATAGATTGAAGTCTTCACCATGATTTTATTTTATAGTCCAAAGGATTAAAATGGATGTGTGGTCGGTAGTTATGGCTCACATGAGGTGTAGTAACCTCTTAATCTCTGCCTGTGTCGTTTATGACCATGCATTTGAAAGGGTTTGACAGCACAGAGTAAGGATTCTTTTAACAGTCACACATGAAAATAAACCGATATTAAGAAATCCCTATTTAAATATAGTAACGTCTTTGCCAATAAAACCTATACTACTGCCAGATGTAAAGCAACTGTAAACTTCTATTATTGTTAGGAACTGTATTTAAAAAGCCATATGGAGGTTTATGGGAATCAGCTGCTAGGAAACAAGTACTTATGCTCCTGGTGCTGCTCGCCACCTGATTCTTCACTTGAAATCTTAGATATTGCACCAAATATAATATGAATTTGTCGCTCTAGCGTGTGGCTTGAATCCCTACATCTTATGGAGCATAAGCATATTTATCTTTTTTCTGTAGATACCAGCTCTTGGATCAAGAGCCTTAAGTCCGAGTCCTGGACTTAGTCATTATGTTCTAATGGTGTTATGCATTCTTACCATTCAAGGTATGCCTAAGAGTCTGTAAAATCAGAGAGATCAAGGCTGAGCTGTGTTTGAACTCCTGTAACTCTCCACTTCATTTCTACCTAGGAGTTGCCTTTTACTCGTAGTAAAGCACTGTCAGTGTCTTTTGTAGACAGGGTCCAGGTTTTCAGGAGTATAGAGATGATATTGATTTCAGTGCAAGTTATGTCTAAATCCATGGAGGAGCTAGTTCACAGTCAGTGATATGTATTCAAATCACTTCATATCCAACATGCTAGGGAAGGAGTTTTAAAAGGCAAGGACAAACACACACCTTTGGAGCTTAACTGTCAGCCTGTGGCACTTGTGAAGGTTTAGAGGTGACAAAGCAGCTGTTGCCTGCAACTCCTTGGACCACCAGTGCTCTTCATACATCATCTTGTCTGCATGGGTGAATGCTCCCTCTTACCTTTTTTCATACAAGGGAGCAGGAGTAGTTTGAGGAAACAGAGAAGCATTTGTAATATTTTTTGTTGATGTGTATCACTTTAATTTGAGGCCTGTGTAAATGCAAGTTATTCTTTTCTTTCTTTTCTCCAGCCAGTGCAAAGTCAGGTACTCAAGCTGGTATTTCCTTTTGTAGATAGGGTAGCACTGAATCGGTACCAGCACTGTTCCCATATTCATCTCTGATCAGGTGGAAACTTTCAGTCTTGTTTTGTACTCTGCATTCTGGAGAAGTCAGTTTTCCAAAGATATTATAAGAAACATTTCTACTTAATGTTAACTGTTAAACAAGTGTTATGGAAACCCATCGGTGGGAGAGAATAAGGTGAATGCCCCAGGAAAAATGGTAAGTGCTCTTTCAAGAGAAAAAACAATTTGCTAGGAAGAAGAGAGTACTGTAATAACAGAAGTGCAATCCTAATTTTCATAGGTCTTAGCCTACCCAAAAATGTTCTAGTGGGAGAAAGTCACTGTATTATAGACAGCATGTTCTAGCCATGGCTTGCTGAGCCTTTTATGATATATCAATGTACAACATACTTTGTGTGATCAGCCTGTCTTTTAATTGAAAAAACTCAAGTGGAAAATGCAACTCTTTAATTTAAATGGGGAAGGCTAATAACCGTATGGAGTTTTAAGGCTAAAAAGGAGTAGTTATATCACCTAGTCTCACAGACTTTTGAGCTTTACTCAGCTTTACACATGATATAAAGAGGCAGTGTGGGAACACACCTTAGCCTATTTTCAGTATGAAATTGGTGGAAAATGTCTTACAGAAATGCTTTGTTCAAGAGCACAAAGGAAAAATGAAAACTATTCACCCAAAATAAGGTTTAGCGAGTAAAGTAAGCAGCTGGGAAATGGAAGTCACTTTTATCCAGGTCCATTGTTATGGGTTTTTCATTTATATTGCTATAACATTAAAATGACTTATTGGTAGAATAAAAGGTTTTCTGATCTATCTGATTTCTACAAATATAATGTCCTAAGGCAGCAGAGAACAGAATTTTTAATTCTACAATCTTGTGGTTTTGGTGTTTATGAAGTACAAGCAGCTTACACATTTTTTTAGTAGTTGTGTCCATAAATCATCACCTGGCATTTGAAGTTGTATTTGATCTTTTTCAATAGCATCAGCATGTGCAAGTGAATCTTTGCAAACCTTGTTGAAGGTTTAAATCATAACTGTCAACTTAAGTGGCCTGTTTACATTTGTACTCTTTGAGCCGTGATGTTCTGCCAACGCCTGGGGTTCCAGGTTATGTGAGTGGTTTTCTAGTCACAGGAGTGCTTCCAGGTAACATGTGCTGTCTTTCAGAAGATCAATACTCTTCCTAGCTTGCAATACAAAATGATCTGTTAAAGAGCCCTTAGGCTAATCAAAAAGCAAGTCAAAGTGAGGCCTAGTCTGCAAAGAGGCTGAGGATTATTGAAATTTTATGATCCCAATGTAATTGAATCTGAGGAATGCTGTGAAAGATGTTTTTCCTGCCTTAACGTGTCAAAAGGGAATTGAATATAAAGAAACTTGATCATGATGATGAACATTTTTTTAATGCTTTTAAATTAAAAAAAAAAAAGTTAATAATGGCAGGGAAAAATAAAAACAGTACTAAAGCCAAACGCAGTAAGTTCTCAGTGCAGTAACATGGCTCTCTAAACAGTCCTTAGAAAAAAATTGGAAGCTTATTCGGGATGAGGGGCTTGCTGTGATGGATAAAAAAAGAAGCCTCTTCCTGCCTGAAGATGAGAATCTACGAGAAAAAGGAGACTGGAGTCAGTTTACCTTATGGCAACAAGGTAAAACATTTTGTATTTCTTCTCTTTCCCCAGTTTCACTTTCTCAGATTAATATAGTGTAATAAGGAGTAGCAACACAGTTTTTTCTGGAACCATTTTTGTAATCACTGAATCTGCAGAAGGAAGGAGCTAATAAAATAGTGTCTGGGACCTCTGCGGCAGTGAACATGAGTTCTTTATTCTAAACCATGTTGTCCCCAAGCACTTCTAAGAATCCCTTGAGGGTAATACTCCTCTTCTGGCAAAGGCTGCCAAATTTTTGCATGGTAATGCATAATACAGATCAGCCTGAGGGAAGACAGGAACATGGGAGAAGGCGCATCCTCAATATTGTGTTGTCAGCTAGGTGAGATCTATCATTCAGAAATGGTATGAGCAAAAGAATATGAGCTTTAATAAGCCTGCTGCCCTGGCCCTGAGCTCTGCAGTGGGAAGCCCAACTCTTGGAATGGCCTTAAATTCTTATAAGACTCTGCATACAAAAGAGTATTGTAAAATAAAATATTAAAAGCAGCTTATATCAAAATATAATCTGGTGTTGAAATTGTATGATGTTGGTGGCATTTTTCATCTTTTTTTCCTATGCAGCCTCATTAATGATTATACTTTTAGAATCATGTTTCAAAAATGGTAGAAAGCCTGTTCTTCACAAATAATTTAAAAGCAAAGATGTTACAGGCTGCTCTGATATTACAATGTGTTAACACTTCTGTTTCATAATCTGTAAAATGGGAATAATACTTACCTGTCTTTCAGTGTCAGCTCTTTGACAGCTTTGTTGCTCTTCTGCAAAGCAGAAAACAAGGAAATGTTCATTCATTGCTCTTACCAATGCTCTATCTATTATTTTCACTAGGAAGAAAAAATGAGAATGCTTGTAAAAGTGTTCCGAAAACATGCGCTTTATTGGAAAGATTCCCGGAAGCTACTGGCTGCAGAAGAGGGCAGGTACCTGGCAAATTTCTTCATTTTTGCAAATTCCTAATGCTGGGAGCAGGTGATTTTGAGGAATGTGTATAGAGGGGTGCATGACCTTGGTATATTTAACGATGCCTCAAGCACACAATGAAGTTAACAGTAAAAATATGCTCAATTTTAGCCCTCAATTTTAGCAAAGACAAGGTGAAATATGTTAGACTCTTTAGTTGAGCCACTTTACCTTGTGTTTCCTGGGAGCTCATGGTAGGTAAGTAGTTATTTACGAATAAGTAATGACTTGCTAAACCTCAGCCCTAAGTGACCTGGTCTGACTCATAGCTAACCCTGCTTTGAGCAGGAGGTTGGATTAGGTCCTTTCTAACCTGAATTTTTTTTTCTGGTCTGAACCTAACTTTACAAGACTAATTCAGTGAGTGAGATTCTCAGTATGATAAAATTCACCCATCTACCCCAGCCTGGCTGCATTAGACAGAAGGAGAATCACTTCATGGAAGCCAAACAACAGTACCGCTGTCACATGCTTCTTTCCTAAAGGTAAAGGAAGGAAATTTTACATCCATGAGCTGTGGCCTTGGGTGCCAACAAAATTTCTTTCAAGTGCCTGGTCTACACTGACTACTCGGCTACAAATTAGCCTCATTAAATAATGTAATAGACTTATATGGTGTGGATCAATACAAACGCAGCTGAATGAATGGCCCAACACAGATATCATGTGATTCTGTAGGATAGAATTTTTCATTATTCTTTTTTTTTTTTTCAAGTTACTGTATTTTATCTGTAATGACTACATGAGAATAACCTTCATGTTGCAAAATTAAGGATGCAGAAGTTGGAAAACACAGTGCTAGCATAATCCTAATTCAGAGCCTTTAGAGTAGTTGTAGTTGTTCAGCTTTTTCACCAGACTCTTGCTTTTGATGTACAGAAGCGCACTAGATGGCTACTGTTGTGGGAATGAACAAGGCTATTGTTTCATTGATTTGTTGCAAAGGCTGGTTGTAGTGAATGTAACTGATGAGAGAGGTCGTCACACTCAGTGTGGCTAACAGCAAGAAAACTGCTTTCTGTGGCATCCATAGCCAAAATGGATCTATCCCAGAGAGCAAATTCTTTTTGAGAGCTACTATTTTGTTCATCATTTTTTGGAATCCTGTATGTTATCACCAGGATATGGTTTTGCGGCAACATTGTGTATTCACAGCTATAGCTGTAGTCATGTGTTTTGAACATATAAAATGTGAAATAATCTGAAAAATGGGGCTCTAGAAATCTTAAGTTTTACATCCAATATCAGGGGATGCCTAGGACAATTTTGGTCTTATGCTAGCCATGCCTCAGATTCTTACTGGTAAATTAAATTTAAAATATCACCTAATCTCTATTCACGTACTGAAGCACTTGAAAGCAATGGGAACAAACACAATCAGGAAATTAGGAATTCTGTGTTAGATAGACCATTTGGATGCTTTGGGCACCTTGTGTATTGACAAAGATAAAAGAAATATAAAATAATCAACTACCTGCTCAATGCTGCTGAGAGACTGTGTAAGAACAATAGTAAGTGATCATATTATTAAAAATTATATCGTTCTTCTTAAAAATAGCAGTAAACTAAAAGTACCACAGGCATTTTAATTCTGGGCATTTCTTAACTCTTTGGAGTTTTACGTTACAACCATAGTATAACTCATTGGAAGTTCAAGACTATTTATATATAGCACTTGAGTACAGCGCATACATATAATTCACAGATATATCTAGTCTGATCTGCGTGGACAGATAACATACATGACAGTAATCATTCCGCAGTGCTGGTATATTAGCATTAAAAAAAATGTTTCTCTGGGATATTAGTAACTATCCTGCATAGCCAGTTATTTGCATTGCATTAGGGTCTGACAGGGCAATCAAGTCAACGCATCTCAGTGTAGCAGAGGTGGTCGGTTGGAGCATCTGTGTTCACCACGGCCACTGGAGGTTGTCACTTGCTGTCATAAGAAACTGCTGGTAAGCTGAAACCTCAGATGGTGGCAATGGCTAAGGCATTAGACACACACTGTCTTCTGCTGATTTTGTTACATTTGGAGAGCAAGCAATACCTTAAACCCTAAGATTTATCGAAGTTACTCTATCCCAGCCTGATGTGCAGATTTCTCAGTTGCAAAGACCCTTTTCACCACTGTCATGCGTTATTCACACTTCCTGTTCATTTCATTGCTGTAGAATCACAGAAGGGTTGAGGTGGGAAGGGAAGTCTGGACATTACCTAGTCCAACACCTTGCTTAAAGCATGAACTAGAGCAGGTTGCTCAGGACTGTGTCCAGTAAGGTTTTGAATGCCTCTGAGGATAGAGACTCTACAGCATCTCTGGGCAACCTGTTTCAGTGTACAGTAAAAAAGTTTTTTCTTATATTTAAATGGAATTTCCTGTATTTCAACCTGTGTCCATTGCCTCTTTGCCTTTCACTGGATACTGTTGAGAAGAGCCTGCCTCCATCTTCTTCACTCCTCCCATCAGGTATTTATATACATTGATAAGATCTCCCTGAGCCTTCCCTTCTCCAGGCTGAGAAGTCCCAACTCCCTCAGCTTCCCCTTGTATGACAGATGCTCCAATCCCTTAATCACCTTTATGGCCTTTCACTAGACTTGCTCCAGTATGTCCATGTCTCTCTCATAGTAGGTAGCACAGAACTGGACCCAGCACTCAAGACGTCTCACCAACTCTGAGTAGAGGGGAAGGGTCACCTCCCTCAACCTGCTGCCAAAACTCTCTCTAATGCAGCCCTGGAGACTGTTGGTTGTCTTTGCTGCAAGGGCACATTGCTGGCTCATGTTCAAATTGTTGTCTGTAAGGACCCCACAGTCTTTTTCTGGGAAGTTGCTTTCCAGACAGCTGTCCACGAGCTTGTATTGGTGCATGGGGTTATTCCACCCCAGTACAGACCTTTGCGCTTCTCTTTATTGAACATCATAAGGTTCCTGTTAGCTCCTTTCTCCAGCCTGCCAAGGTCCCTATGAATGGCAGCAAAAAAAATGTAGTGTATCAGCCACTCCTCTCCAATTTTCTATCATCTGCAAACTTGCTGAGGGGGATGCACTCTGTCCCATCATCTGAGTCATTTGTGAAGCTATTAAACAGTGTTTGACCCAGTATTGAACGCTGGGGTACACCTCTGATGAGTGGCCTCCAGCGGGACTTTGTGCCTCTGATCACAACTCTTTGAGCCTGCTGACCT